ATGCAGAGATATTCAAGAAAATGTGTTGAAAAATTGATTTTTGGCTTCGAAGGCCATTATCTCGAGATCTACCGATCCGAATTTCGTGAAATCTGCACTATCGTGTTCGCCGAGATGCGCTCATCACAATGATATGTGTTGCATGTCTAACGGATCACTAGACGCTGAGATATTCAAGAAATGTGTTAAAAATATTCAATTAAAGCTTCGTAAACGGTATATTTTCGAATTCCGGGATTGTACCAAATTGAGTTACACAAGATTCCAAATATAGATATATAGTTATACAAATTCCTAAAAAGGAAATTTTTGGCTATCGAAAAATTGGAAAATCACCAAAAATGAGTTACACAAAATTCCCAAAATGGTAATTCGTGTAATATCAATTCACATGAGTCAACTCGAGTCAACTCGAATTGAAATGAGTCGAGTCAATTTATTGACTCAACTCGACTAATGACTCAACTCGAGTCAAATAAGTTGGAAAATTTTTGACTCGACTCAACTCAAACTTGAGTCAATTCATTTGACTCGTGAGTCAACTCGACTCATTAGGAGCTCTACATCCATTCAAGTATATTGAGATGATAGGTTCTTTTCATAATAAAATGCCAATTATAGTCAGAATTATTAAACCCAATTTGAATGTTAGGGATAAACGTTCACCAACAGAGGCAAATGTTTTTAGCAAATTTACCTGATTTTCACATATGATTGTAACTTATTGTAAGTTTGACGCAGTTTTAAGTTTAATAGATTTGTTTTAATAGTTTTGGATTGTCTTTCTAGTATAATGTCATTCAAATCATAAAGACCTTGTTTTTCTATTCAAGAACTTCTGCAAATTCTTCCATTCATGAGATATATGTTTCTATATCTCATGTAAGAATAAGAGTACAATCTCATAAAAGAGCTGAAATAGAGAATCAGTCACTTATTATTTTAAAATCCTCTAGTGAACAGAATCTTTTATATGCATATAGAATTCATGCAGACAAAGCGGGCTGGTCTGCTTGTCTTTCTTGCATATATATTTGTTTATTATGGACCATCCAGAGAGTTGGATTCTATTTTTTCGAATCACCTTTCAGTAGAATGAGTATAAATCATCTAAAGCAATTTCAAAATTATTATTTTGGACTTAATGACTTTTTTTGCTTTCTTTCTTTTCTCAGTATTATTTGTATAAATTTGTAAATATGACTTTTTCTGTAACATATCTATAGAAAAGGAATGCTTTAATGTGCTCTATTTTAAATGATTTTACAATGTTAGAGAGAATTTCGTTCACATTTTTTCACATTCATCTGGAGTCTTTCCGTCTTATATGAAAATGTCAAAGAAAACTTGAATGTTTATAAGAGTTACTAATGCCTTTTGGTTATTAATAAGGTGATCATAAAGACGTAAAATATAGCGGTATATTTCATTTATCTTTTCTGTTGACCCTTCATTATTAATGGTCATAAATGGAATTTCTCGGTAACTGAATAGAGCATCATCAAGGATTGTGGTTAATCCTTCATCATTTTTCATAATTATATCATTTAGAGTTTCATTTTATCTTTTTTAGCTTTGGGTGAAAAAGTAAGATAGAGACTTTGAAGAACTCTAAATGCTCATATTGGATCATGATAATATGTCACAAATATATAGTTTGAGAGAAAATATATATTCTGGGAGAAAAAGTTTAAAATGAAAATTAATTCTAAAATATATAAATCGATACATAAACTAATTAATCATAGATATTAAAATGTCATTTTATTGATATCTTTATATTCTCAGGAGTGGTAAAGTTTGCAATTAGGAATGCTACCAACTGGAAGTGTATCAAATTCATTAGAATTCTCCTTCACGTATACCTTATAATAAATGTGATAAATTAACTTTTTTCAAATATGATACTTGTGATATTCATACTAGAAAGTACTGTAAAATAGAACAGTATTATTAAAAAAAGCTGGTTGACTTAGTTTGACACAGATACCGATAGGTAATTTAGGGTAAATAAAAATTATATAAAATGATATAACTTAGCATAAGTGTCAATAGAAAATAAAATGAGTGATAGAATGAGTGATACCTTTGATAAGTTATTTAATAATATAAATCTAAAAGAAACTGTTTTTAATGTGAGTCACTGGTATCAATAGTGTCATTGGAAAAAATCTGAAATTTCTGCTTACATCTTATTTTTGTCATGAAAAAATTCCTATAATATATTATACATATACTATACTATAACATATATATATATCATAAAAGGTAGCATAGAAAAAATTTGATTTTTTCCTAGAATTTATTACTCTTTTACTAGTGATACTAGTGATACTAATAAAGAAAGAAATAAAATAGCCTAGTAATCTTAAAGAATATATTAAAGGTGTCACCTATTCTGTCACCAGTTAGTATATGAAACTATTGACACCAGTGACACTATATTAGATTTTTAAATTATATACTCTAAGAATAGCTAAAATTATGCCATAGTGTCAGCTGAAATTAATAATGAATTTGACTACATTATGGATTTTTTAATATTGAAATTACGTAAAAAATAATTATTCTGAAGTGTATACAGCAACAATGAAATCTGAAAACTATCAATTAAAATACCAGATCTCTAATATGCAATTTAAGCTTACATTAACTCGCAAGATTTTAATATACAATTGAAAATAGATTCATTAAAAGAACAAGTTAATAAGCTCAAAAATAAAAATACTAGACTTAAAAATGTGACTAGCTGTTAGGGAATTGAAAAGTAGAATGAGATAGTAAATTCTAGCAAAGTATCTTATTCTAATATTGATCAATTCATAATAGATTATATTTCAACATGACCTGAAGACATTCTTTGCAAACAAATATGTTATACTACTTTATATCAGGATTATCTTACTTGGTGTGATAAAAATAATGAGCAAGTATTAAGTAGTAATATTCTTAGTAAAAAATTCTCATAAATGGATATTGATCATAAATAGGTATAAGTAAGTGATGGCAATAGAGAATAACAATATAAATTAGACTGATCTAAAATTATAAGCAAGATACGTAGTATTACATTTGATAACTGATAGCATTTAATAACTACTGAAACATCACATCAAGATACAGTAAATTATAATGATCTGATAAATTTTGACCAGTACTATTTAATATTTTTTTATCAGAATTTGTGACATATATTTTCGTAAGTAATTATTCAATTCATCTCAAATTTGGTATATATATAGAGCATGAGAAGAGCTTTTAAACAAGTCTATGATTACATAAATCTAATCATTAGATGCGGAATTATTAAAGCTCAAATATTATGCCAAAATTATGCTATAGTACCGGCCAAAATTAGACGAAATTTATCAGATCATGTGACATCACGCGGATTTCCGTTGGATGTCATCTGATACTGAGCCACCTAACATATTTTTTTACTACAATTTGATATTAATACAGGTAACTAAACAGGCGTAAAAAGTAATTCTCTCAATATAAAATTGAGAATCCATTCAGATACAAAAGGCCAGCACTCTCAATATAAAATCAGATATCTAAATGGCTATAAAAAACTAATAACTTCAATATAGAATTTAACATGTAAATGACCCAGAAACAAGAAGAAAGGCATGGTATTTAGATGATATATGTGGTATTTAGATCGTATGTATATGTGGTATTTAAATTATATTGTAATTAAGATTGCTTGTCTAAACTCATTTTGGATTTGGCAAAATGGTAAAACCTTTAGTTTCGCTAAATTTTTACTAAG